AGAATATTTATAAGTATTCTTAGTTTATTAGTATTATTAGAAATATATTATATAAACTTTCTTTTCTAATTATTTAATTTACTAATTATTATAAGTATTCTATTATTAGAGTAAGCTTTACTTTATTTCTTTTTATTAGTAGAAATAATTCTCTATTTCTCTATATTATTATTTATTTTACTATCTATAGAAGATAGTATATCTTCTGTATATTATTATTTTATCTCTTTTTCCTATAATTAGTATTACTAAAGATATAATTTAATAGGATTTATATTATTATTACTATATTTTATAAGTTTTAATACTATTCTTTTTATTTCTAGATAGTTTCTATACTTCTAATTATAATATTATTTAATCTAACTATTATATTTAGTTATTACTTAATCTTTAAGTTCCTTATTTTTATATTATAATTTAATCTTAATTTTCTTATAAATCTTATATCTTAACTTATTATATAGTTCTACTAATAGCTTATTATAGATATATTTATTAGGATATTCTTTTTAGTTTTTTTTAAAGATAGTATATTATTCTATACTATAGTATTAATATATAAATTATTATATTTATTCTATAATATATTTATTAGATATTCTTCTATTAGAATATAGAAAGAAATTATTTTTAGCTTTTTCTATTTAATATATTTAGTACTAATTATTATAATAGATTATTTAAAATTCTAAAGAATAGTTATATATCTATATAATCTCTATATAGATTAATATTTTATATATTCTATTACTAAGTTATATAGTATTAATAGTATTATTTCTAAAAATAATTAGTTTTTTTAATATATCTAGATTCTATTTTTATATTCTTTCTTAATAGTATATATAGAGTTTATTATATTTAGTTTTAATTTCTATTCTTATAGAGAGATATTATTCTTATTTAGTTATAATTTAATAAATAAGATTATTAATATAATAAAATATATATTTATATTTAGTAAGTAGTTTAAATTCTAAGATTTATTTCTCTTATTTATATTTCTCTTTAAACCTTTAAAAAATTTATTAGATTTTCTTTTATTATTTTCTAAATATACTTTATTTCTTATACTCTTCTTCTTCTAGTATTTCTCTAAAGATAAATATATTCTTTAAAGGAAATTTAGAAATTATAATAGTTATAGTAGTTTCTTTCTAAAGAATTCTATAGATTATTCTTAAAATTTTTTAAATCTTAGTTTTTCTAATTACTTCTAATTACTTTTTACCTTTCTTAATAAGCTTCTAATTCTTTTTTTTATCTTTTTTAGACTTTAGATATTAAAATAAGATATACTTAATTTTATTATAGTTATAATATTTATATTTTTCTATAGCTCCTAGCTCTATAGAATCTATATATATTCCAGAGATTATAATATATTATTATTATAGTTTTCTAGTATTAGTAAAATAGTTTATTTTCTTATTATAAGTTTATTAATAATATTATTAGTTATTAATCCTTATAGTTATAATTATATATTTATAATTACTTTTTAACTTATTTTCCTTATAGAGTTTCTTTTATATTTTCTTTTTAAATTAATTAAAATAGAAAGATATAGTATATTCTTTATTCTATCTAGTTTTAATTAATAGTTAGAGATAGTAAGTACTAAAGATTAAATATAATTCTTTCTAAATAAATATATTAATTTTATATTCTACTTTTTACTTTTTATTTTAAATTCTAAAGATTTATTTAAAAACTTCTATAAAGTAATTAAAACTTATTATAATATTAATAGTTTATTAGTTTCTTTATTTATTAAAATATTCTTTTATAATAAATTTAAACTAATTAAATATAACTTTCTTAAGTTATAAATAGATATATATAATCTTTCTTTTACTAATATTAAATATAATAGAAAAGTAATTAAAATATACTTAGAGTTAAGTTATAAATCCCTAAAGTTTATTTTAAATTCTATTAAATATCTTAGATAGTAATAGCTTAAGTAGTTATTCTAATTCTTTTTCTTAAATAGTAGTTATAGTTTAAGTCTAGAGATTAGTATATATAATAGCTTACTATATTATAAGATTTATTATATTAGCTAACTTCTAATAGATATCTATAAAATATATATAAAGCTAATTAATTTAATCTTATAAAAGCTATATTTTCTTAGTATAGTTATTATTATTATTACTACTATTATTACTATCTTTATCTATAGTATTATTCTTAATAGTTAGAGTAGATAGATTATTATTAGTAATAAAAGTATATTATTATTAAGCTTAAGTATTATACTATATAGGCTCTAATACTACTATAGCCCCTAACTAGAAGGCTATAGCAGGTCTTTTACTATAGGTAGTTAGAGTATCTTTTAAATATAATAGTTAGTAGTAATTCTATCTGGTTATAGATTTAATCCCTATACTAGTCTATATATATAGAGCCTAGATTAGAGCCTCTGAAGATTTACTATAGAGCCTAGCTATAAGGCTCCGAGCTTTAGAGGCCTTATAATAGCCTAATAGACCCCTGCTATAGTAGTTCTTATTACTGAGATATAAGGTAGCTAAGTACTATAGCCCTAAGAGCAGGACTATCTCTCTTATTATAGAGGGGTACTTATTATACTATATAAGCTCTAATACTACTATAATCTCTAATTAGAAGATTATAGTAGATCTTTTACTATAGATAGTTAGAGTATCTTTTAGATATAATATTAAGATATTATAATAGCTATAATATCTTCTTTATTATTATATAGTAATTAAGATAAGATAATTAGCTAAATAAGAGTTATTAATATATAATAGTTAGATAATTTATACTAAATTAGGATCTAGAGTAAGCTAGAATTAGATTAATTAGATATTATTCTAAATAGTATAATTAGATTATTTTAAACTATATAATATAAATTACTATTAATATATAAATATTATAAAGCTAGTAATAATAGATATATAGATAATATTATTAATAACTATCTAAAAGAGTATTTCTATCTAAGAAATAAATATATATATATACTATTAGATTATTAAGATTTAGTAATAATTTATATTTATAGATTATAAGAATTATAATAAGATCTAAATAATTCTATTTTAATTAATAGTAAAAAATAGAGTTCTATATATAATCTATTATAGAAATAAAATTTATAATATAAAAAAATCTATTAGATCTATTAATTAGCTAGATAAATTTAAATTTTTTATATATAATAGATTTATTATATAATAATTAATAGTAATTCTATACTAGTTATAAGATATTATAATAATAACTATACTATATCTATTTTTATATTTATTTTTATTTCTAATTAATTTAACTCTTTCTATTTAATCTATTTAGCTATATTATTCCCTTCTATTTATTTAATAGGAGTAGATAAATAAACTAGTTTACTTATAGTAGATATTATTATTTATTAAATTAAAATATTCTTATTCTAAAGTATTTAATTATACTAATTAGAAGATATTTAATTTCTTTAAATTAATTAAACTAATTCCCTTTAAAACTTAGTTTAATAAAGCTTATTTTTTTAAATAGATTAAGTAATAAAAACTCTTTATAATAATTTTATAATACTAAAGAAAAGATATAGCTAGATATCTTTATTCTATACTTTTTATTCTAAAGAAATAAAAATAAACTATTTATATTTAATTAAAGATATTTTATATAGTAAAAATTTTTAGATTAATTTTATTAAACTAATTAATCTAATCTCTTATAATATTCTTATCTAGTTAAATAGATATATCTTTCTAGATTTAAATTCCTAAGTTAAAATATTATAAATTTATCTAATATATAATAATTAAAGAACTTATACTAAATAGAGTTTAAAGTAGATTAGAATTAAACTAATTAGAGTATTATTCTAAATAGTATAATTAGATTATTATAAACTATATAATATAAATTACTATTAATATATAAATATTATAAAACTAATAATAATAGATATATAAATAATTATAGATTTATTAATAACTATCTAAAAAAGTATTCTATCTAGTAAATTAAGTATATATATATACTAAGGAATTATTAATACTTAGTAATAATATATTATTTTAAATTATTAAAATTATTATAAAATTCTAATAATCTATTAATAATTAATTAGAAAAAATAAAATATACTATATAACTTAATATATAATAATATAATTTATAATATAAAATTCTTTCTCTATTAGTTATATTCTTAAAATTATATTCTATAGCTTATTAGTAAATTTTTTCTAATTTAATTTTATATTTTCTTTATAGTTTATAATAATATCTAACTATATATAGAAAACTTTTTATAAAAAAACCCTTTAATATAATACTCTTATTAATACTATATTATTAAAATCTTTAATAATATAATTAAAATATAATTATTATAAATTCTATAATTATAATTACTTTAGAGCATTGGTTCGGGCGTAGTTTTATGTTCAAAAACTTTGTGTGGTCTACATCTCACGTGTGCAGCCTGACCTGATCTTGGGATACCCCTTGATTACGGCGATAATTAACCACCTAAATCACACACATACTAGATGTCTAATTGAGGCTCGAGATCGGGCGCAACAGGTGGTAGTATTCCGCTTCAATCAGGACCACCACGCCGCTATAACGTACTATTCACCCGGCCCATCGAGCCCAATTGCAGCCATCCGAGCCCTATTCTAACCACCCGGTCGTAATACACACCATCCTCTAAAGATATTGAATTTGATTGCTTGAAGAGAGCCCGACCGACTTAATGAACCTGGCTATGTCCTTCGATCTCAATCTCCCCCAAGCTAACGAGCCTGTCCGACCTAAACGGCAAACAAGACTAGATACATCCAGAGAATGATTTTCTTATAAAAGCTGCCATTCACCGTTATGCGCAAATATAGAGGGAATTTTATTTTCTCATTTGGCAACGGGAGTATCTTATATATATAATAGAGATGCAAGTGGAATTTGTGCTCAACTAGTGTATGCAGGCCGGATCTTGTTCTGTTGCTTTTATACTTGCCTAACTGCGGCGCCATGGTTGCTATCATTCTTGTTGATGTTGTGCTTGAAGTCATCATCCTGGTCATTACTGACACTGCCCTCCAAAACCTTTGGGTTCCGTTTGTACGCTATGAACCAAGGTCCTTCGAACACGCCCTCGATCTCCTCAACGGTCATACCTGCAACCTCGGGAACCATGAAGAAGACATATACAAATATAATGAAGACCCAACCAGCAAAGAAGATAAATCCCCCCCAGTTGTGGAAATTGGTTAACATAACTGGCATACTATACTTAACTGCGTAGACAAAGATCCAGTAAAAGGAGGACCCTAGCACGGTACCAAAGGAGCGAATTTGGTTAGGCCATAGTTCAGAACCAAATACATAGGGTAGAATCAAGAGACCTATATAAATACAAGCACTTAAGTAAAAAGTCTTTCCTTTGAACAACTAGCCATAGGCGGCGGACAACAGCAACTTACCGACCGTATATCTAAACTCGTAGATAAAAAGCATCGCAATAGCACCTTGTACGGCTGCATCTAAAACAGGACCTTCCTATATCTTTTTTATAAAGACGCTGATATAAGTATGAGAGAACATTTATACTAGAATACTAATGAGTAGAGACTTCTGTCAGCCCAAGGCATTAACAAAGAGAAAAGATACGATCAGGGTAAACCAGAGCTTGGCAAAAGAATACATACCACTCAGAAATTTATTGTCTGCTGTTGATATCCCACCCTGGCCAACCATCTTCATAATAGTCACAAGGTATGATGTGATGGAATTCGCACCGGCCGGAGAGTTGAGCTAGAGTATAGGAAAGCATGACTTGTTGGAGGCAGCGGAGGTTAGTAGCTTTGGTGAACGTTTCTTTGGTGAGGGACCTGAAACTAGCTCGATCCTCAGTTTGCGACCAGGAAATGTCATGTTCAATCTCGGAAAGCTCGCTTGCTATCCGAGGGTGCTCTATGGGAAGGCCACGAAGGCGGACAAGATATTTAATAGCTTCTTCACGGCGGTTGACAAGTGTGACGATAATGCCACAACTTGAGGTCACCTAATTGAGCGGAATTTTATAAAGACTTGAATTTCTCTTCCTAATGAAGGGCTATGCCTATTTAATTTATATTGAATAATTGACCCAAGGAGTGGTCACGTGTGAACTGAGTTCTGATTGGTGAATCACTGCCAATGTGACCCACATCTCGTCACAACGCCAACGGGGGATTCGCAGAGGAAAAAGCTGGCCACAACGCAAAGCGCCATGTACATGCAGGGCCAAACCAAGAGATCTGGTACCGCAAACGGCTGTTTGGTACATGCATATAAATTCCATAGACGGTGAAATTAGCAACAAAAAGAGATGCAGAAACCGTAACAGGGTACCAAGAGGTTAGGAGACCTCTGACTCGGAACATAGAGGGGTAATCTAGCCGAATGAAGTAATTCCCGCCGGGGTTTGGCGAAGCTCACCCGCGCCCCACCCCGAATTCCGAACTTTTGAAGGCGTCATCAGCAAGAGAAAAACTTAAGAGCTCAAGTCCTCAGCCTGTTGTTATTGCGTGCCACTTGAATACTTTTTATAGCAAAGAGAAGTACCAGCTGAAAATAGAGTCTTACTTTCCTCTACCAAGATGGCTGTGAAACCACTTATTCAGGTCATCGGCTCTCTCAACACAGACATTACTGTGACTATACCCCGAGTACCTGAGGCCGGCGAAACCCTCAACGCAGATTCCTACAGCATTGGTGCTGGCGGCAAAGGGGCAAACCAAGCAGTCGCATGCGGACGAGCCGCGTTTAAGTCACTGACCGAGCAAGATATCCAGGTCGAGATTATCGGCGCGGTGGGAGCAAACGATCCACAAGTATCGTCGCTTCTTAAACCAATTCTACATGCCAGTGGTGTCGATACTGATGGAGTGTTAGAGATTGAAGGTGCAACTACCGGCACATCTACCATCTTTGTTGAATCAGACGGTCAGAACAGGATCCTGTTCTATCCCGGGGCAAACTACGACGGAATGCGCGATCCTTCACGGTTAATAGACATCGCCACTCGGTCGGACAATCGATACCCGGATGTGGTGGTCCTGCAAGGAGAGATTCCGCGCGAAACGACACTAGAATTACTCGGGACTTTTAATGACCAATCTAATAAGACGCAGATTGTGTTCAATCCTGCTCCTGCGTATCCCGAAGGCTTTCCTATCGAGGCTCTCTGCAACCTTGGCGTGCTCATCGTCAATGAAACAGAGTGCATGCTTCTCGCAAGGAGTATGCGGGTTGCCGCGCTCCCCCTGGATGTTGACCCAGAATCATTATCACGGAATCACCTTGATGACATAGCACACGGCTTTTGCGACACCGTTGGTGTGAAAATCACCATTGTCACCCTTGGCTCTAAAGGGGCATATTTCGCAACTCAGAGCGGCATTCGGGACATCGTACCTAGCGCGAAGGTAGACAAAGTCGTCGATACAACAGCTGCGGGTGATACTTTTGCCGGTTATTTTGCTGCAATCCTTGCCAGGCACATTGCATCGAATAAGAAGTGGGAGGAATTCAACGTTAGGATTGCGATCGAGGCTGCGAATACAGCAGCGGCGCGATGTGTGCAGAAAGCTGGGTCAATTCAAAGCATTCCGTTTGGTTATGAGCTATGTTGAATGCTCATTTCCTCAACGCCATTGATGCGCGTGTACCCGTGATTGTTTTCACAGTTCACGAAGCAATAACGTGGGCTTTAAAATAAATAGAGACTGCGCGCTTATATCTGTTCAAAGATATTCGCGTCCTTGGCATTGCCAATTAAACAACATATCCTGGTCATACGCTCACGTTAATATCGGTGGGGCAATTTTAGTATAATGTGCAGTAAATGTCATGTCTCCTATCACAACCTAGGGTGCAAGTCTTGGATAACACTTGTTCATTCCATTTCGCCCTTATGTAGTTCGAATTAGGATAGATAATAGACGATAAGACTAGAACATAATGAACATTTATTTCTTAAGTTACATGTTTTTCTTATAAGGAATATCGCGAAAGCAAGAGAATCAGATCCCTGCAATTCCCATTCAGTGATACAAACGGATGTATATAGTGCTTCGTCAAATTATATATCAGCATAATGCTCTGTCTTGTAAAATATGAAGTAAATTCAGAAGATTTAGAGGTGGTTTGGGTAACTTATCCCAAGTTTGTGTTTCGGTATCGGGCATCGCGATATTAATAATTGAATACACTGGTTTACAAATCACACTACATACCTTAAATAATCATTCTGTAATCATGGATCAATTGAAATTCATATTGGAAGCCACATAGTTTTAATTGTTTGGAGATACTGTTGAATTCTGTATAGACGCAAAATATAAAAATTTGAAATATTCAAACCTGGAATTCTACCCAGTCGGGTAAGAATACCATTTGGTTAGCTCGATCGTTTCTCACCGATGGCTGTAACTACCTATGTACCTAGGTAGATATTCACAAAAGCTTGCACTATTGTAGTTTCTATGGGCGTTCTACTAAAGTATATACCCAGAATAACTGTCTTGTCATGATTAACCGACCTAATGCTGGTTATTAATCACTTGAACAGCCGACTTGCCCTCAACCTCGGAAGAATCATATGTTTGGGCAATGCCAATTTCGGAGTCTGTGTGAATGGCTTTGCGGAAGCCGGGCAGGAGACGGCCACGTCCGTCAACCACAAACACACGATCATTGTCGCCAAGAAAAATGGAGTCAATATCCTCGAGGCTACGACCCGTCGTCTCTGGATAAAACAGGAATACAAGGATGGCAAAGGCGAAGTTGAGGACAAAAAAGATCATGTAAGTCTTCCACCGAATATTTGAAATAGCAACCGGGGTGATCTGGACGACTAGATAATTGAAAATCCAGTCGCTCGCTGCGCCAAGGGCTGCGGACTGGGCTCGATGACGCAGGGGCATAATTTCTGGAGCGTAGAGCCAGGGCACCGGAAGCCACGCAATACCGAAAATAGCTTCGAAGATAAAGAAAAAGGCTAGGGATGCCTTTGCTCGATACGGGGTGATTTCCTGCTGTAGAAGACCGGCCTATGATTTTTGTCAGTGTTCAGATACCGAGGCATAGGGTGATACTTATCACCTACCGCCAAGAAGCATAAAGCGCAACCCACGGAACTCCAGATCAACGGGGGTCGCCGACCGAGCTTGTCAATGTAAGCAATGCCAACGAAGGAGAAAACCCAGTATGTGAGACCCAGCCCCGCAGAAATCTGAAGGGCAGTTTCATAGTCCCAGCCAATGTCAGTCGTCATGGTATGTGGCGCGTAGAACACCAAAACGTTAATTCCACTGAGCTGCTGCATGGCTTGGAGGCCAATAGCAAGCAAGAAACGCCTACGAATTTTCATAGGTCCGCTCTTAAAACATTCCGAGAACCTCCAACGCCCGTCGGCTTGTTCAAGGGTGATCGCTTCATCAATGGATGATTTCATCCCTACAACGATTGGGTCCTGGTGGCTCAAGCCCTTCCCGCTTATTTGTGTGATGATGTCGATGGCCTCGTCATGGCGACCCTCTGGTTTAGTTAGCTTGAGGTCTACAATTTTCACAGGGTAAGTAGATTGATCATTTCTTACGCTGACTCAGCCATCGTGGTGATTCGGGGAGCAAGTAAGTCCAAAAGACTTGTAGAGCAATGAAAACGGCCTGAAATGCAATAACAAGTCTCCACTGGACGGCGCCGCTGGTGTAAGACATGCCTATGTTGAAATAGTACGCAATAACGATTCCAAAGGCAATCAAATTGCCCTCAATGGCAACATGTCGTCCTCGATTCTTCGCAGGCACAAGTTCGGATACCCACAGGGGAGTTGTGGCCGTATTGAAACCGTTTCCCCATCCGCTGAATAGAGAGTTAGCCTTATGCCATATATTTGATCTAGCGAACGTACCAAACAATACGACCCACGATCATCTGTGGAACGCCGAATGCCGATGCCTGGAGGACAGCACCAATTAACTGCAGGACAGCACCGATGTATATGCACCGTTTACGCCCCAGCTTGCTGCCTAGGAAGAAGACCGTGATTGCGCCAAAGAAGCAACCAATTCTACGCTTGGTAAGTACAAATTCTCCTGATTGGTAACGTTAAAACGTACTCATAGATAGCGTTGATTGTACCTAGCAAACTAGCTGAAGGATAGTTAAACTGTCGGAGGAAATCATCTGCAGCATTCAAGCCCTGGGTTGATTCTTAGTCTCCAAGCAAAGACATGGTGCCATTGTCCTCAAGGGATTGTATCTTACACCAAGTACGCCCTGGTCATAGCCGAAGAGCAAGAAACCCAGCGCTCCAGCCACCGAGATGTGCATTCTAAGAGTTCGGCCTTGGATGCCAAAGAAATATCTATGCAGAGCATCCTTTTGGTGAACGATTGGCTGCGACATATTATTGTCTGCCAACTTGTCTTTCTCGACAGACGTCATGATTGTAGGCCCGAGGGGTAGCTTAAGATTGAAGAACGACAAAAGTGGAAGATAAGAGGTGCTTTGAAATGCAAAAATAATCCCAATTATCGCGGGCAAAGCAGGCAGTTTAAATATATGCTTACTACAATAGGTGTGATTATCGATATCTCCCAAGGCCCTCAAGCAAGTTGTTTGAATACCTGCCCGGGGAATATGGGGCGTGGAGAAAATCTGGGGGCAGGGGTTACGAAAGCTGCATATGCTGCGGTACTCCGCATCTGGATTTCCAAGCGCGGGAAATACTCATGGGCATGGGGCGAAATCAGTGGAGCCCTATTCTTCGGTATTCGGGGAGTACTAGTTGATGGTGTGATTACAAGCTAGCTTGATACAGAGATTCTGCCCGAGTTCAACAATTCAGGCAAATCCCCAAGGGTTTTCTCTTTCGGCCTCATCTTTATTTGCCACGTACCTTCTTGCTCAATACACAATCGGACCGTCGTATGCATGCATGGCCATCTTGCTAGGCCCACTACAGGCGCAGAGCTCGGAGAAATGAAGTCGATATGGTATGCTGCCCACTATCCCTCAGCATATGCGTTGCAACCGCTGACAGTTATTTGCACAGCTCCACCTGCAAAGCAAGACATCTCAGATGTGGGTCACGTCTTGGGGAAAACCATCTACAGGTCACACTATTGACAGCGTCAAGGCGACGGAAAGCTACCCAAGTGCAGTAACTGCAAAAAGGCACGCTCACGGCCGGATTGCACGTATCCTGGCGCCACGTTTCGTCAGAGCCAGCTCTCTATTCTAGCCACAGAGGCGGCGAGCAGCCCGTCCCTGGAAGCCTGCTCCGTATCAACTCCATACGAGACGGTCACAAACAACATTGCGGCAGCAGATCATAGCCCGACTGATTATCCCTCGCATGGTGTCATCTCCGCCAACCCCCCAGCTGAACATAGTGCTGACCAGGAAGTTGGGCACCATGCAAGCTTTGGAACCACTGGTAGCTTCGAGACTGGCGATTCGCCCCAGAGCATGTGGATGTACCTGAGCCCAGCGAACCCGCAAAACTTCGAAGGGCTCAAAATTTGGATCTCTAACAAGTCCCATGTCACGGGGACTAACCCAACAACGGATCGTGCGGAGCTAAGTGCGAGAGCGCTCGATAATCTCCACGAGAAAGTCAAGATAAGTGAAGAGGAAAGAATAGTTTTTGAGTTTTATTTGCAGCATGCGGGTGTCTGGGTAGGTCTGTTGTCTCCAGATATGTGGAACATAATTACTAATAAATTTCGGAAGCTCGACATCGTGTCATTAGACCAGTGCTTTGCCCAGACTGTACCCCAGCTCTCAATCGAAACACCGGTTCTTTACCGGTCTTGCCTCGCCTACGGAGCCCGAATTATGTATCTTTGGGATCTGAAGTCACGCGCCAGCGCCGATGATTATCATAACCAAGCAATCCAGCTCCTCATACCCTTGCTCGGCCCCAAGATACCCACCGCCGCCACAGACGTACTACTCGCGATAACAGTGGTTCTCCGCATGTCTGAGCAGTTCTCCGAACCCGGTGAGGACGCGCAGTGCCACATGAATGGTGCATTCTCCTTGTTCACTAGCTCTAGATCCAAATGGGGTCCAGACCGGGTGGATATCCAGGGGACTTCCTTTTGGGTTTTCGTTCGGCAGAGCCTGAGGATATCTTTCCTGTCTGAACAGGAATGCCGCTTTGACCTCAATCTTGTTGATGACAGTAACATGCTAGCTCCAGCACGTGATGATATCTGGACAAATAGAATGACTTACATACTCGCCAAAGCATGTCGCATTTGCTGGTCGCCCACCATGAAACCCGAGGAGCTGGATCGTAACCTGGACACGCTCGAGACCGAGGTCAACGAGTGGCGCGGCGCGCTGCCGCAGACCTTTGAACCTTGGTATTTCAATCATGCACCATCGGAGCCGTTTCCAACGATGCGGTACTTTAGCCGGTGGCATGGTAAGTCCATCAAAATTTTCATTGTCGCCCGTAAATGATGGAGCAGGCCCTGACCCTTTCGACTGGAGCAGTAATTGCTTGGCAGCAGTACTACACGGCAAAGACTATGATTGCTGTTTACCGACAGAATTTACAACAGACAAGCTCTTACAGGCAATTAAATGACTATCTAAATGTATGCGTACTCACCCAATCTCCGAGACTGGGCGTTGCTTTTAACATAGTATGCGTGTTGATAGAATACTATCTTGCCACCAGCGCGCTTGGCATGTGGGGTGGTCCTGTCGGAAAAGGATATTGGTGTTGGGATCAACGGAGCACATCATGCCTACTGGTGTGGACAGTTCTTCACCGGCTGTGAAGAACAGCGGACATTGCTTAGATGGCTGAATGACTTCATGGAGCAATCGAAATGGCCGAACAAGACAACGATCAAACGGCTTCAGGAGCTTTGGCGCCTGGACGAAGCAGGGACCAAAGACTCTAGCCAGCCTCCGATAATTTAGTAATGGGTTTATATTTAAGACACTATCTTGAGTGAGAGGCTGAAGATACATTAGTGACCATCTCCTTGCATTCGAAGGCAAGCACACACTTGGGGGTACCCTCAGTATGTAGATAGATATATACTAAGGATGTAAATGCCCTCCTGGCCACATATCCCACCATAATGTCTGTACTCAGCTATCCTATAGGTCCATACTTGGAACGCGAAAAATCTAGCTCTTACTATACTAGATAGTAGACCCTGAAAGACGTGTAGAGTGAGCTTCTAGTTCCTACTATTGCGTTCTAGCTTTGGCTTTGACTATCAATTCCTTGGGGTTGAAATTAAATCGTTCCAACATCAGCATGTCGCATCCCTCCTGGGCCAGCTCCCACTCAAAGTTGAGAACCAGGGCTGCCATCACAAGAGATACTTCCATATATGCAAGATTCCTGCCAATGCAAGCCCTGGGCCCCATGCTGAACGGAATACAGTAATCCTTGAGATTCTTCGACTCCGTCTCATCCCAAGCACCAGACTCTTCTTCCTCCGGCATCCAGCGCTCAGGGATGAACTCGAGCGGTTTTCGGAAGAGCGACTTGTTGCGGTGCAAGGTATAAATAGAGGCCGAGACGGTCACTCCTCCGGGGATGAAGTGGCCGGCGATCGTGGCTCCGGCACCCGTGACTTGTCGAGGAAGACCCCGAGCGACTGGCGGGCGACACCGCCAGTTCTCTTCGAGCACAGCGCGGAGGTAGGGAACCTGCTGCAGGGCCGTGGTCGAGAGAACCTTCATTTTTCTCGGCTCACCAGCAATATCGGCGGTATACACTGTGGAGAGGGCTGCATAGAGCTTTTGCTGTTTCTCAGGATTCGCCGCAAGATGGTAGATGCAGTTGGTCAAAGTAGTCTGCGTAGTGTCGTTTCCAGCATCAAGCATGGTCGCGCATTCAGCTACAATCTCGTCTACCGGCATCGGCACTGGCCGTTTCTCAGTGGGTGCAGTGGGAAGGCGAGAGAACAGGTCATACCCGTCAGGCTCGTGCTTCAGACGATAGTTGACCATGGCGCGAGACATTCCCTCGAAGTTGCTACCCGAGTCATTACCATGGACGAACCAGAGAAGCTTACGGCCAAGCTTGTAAAGCGGTAGAGGCAGCTGAGCTAGTGTACTGTTGAACCGACTAGCAGAGTGAAAAGTATCCATAGCGTTGACGGTTTTCTCACGGCCCATCTTGTCTGCGGACGGACAGAGGTCGTTTCCCACTGTGAGAAATCCATAGTCTCTCGTGAAGAACATGCTAGTGATCGCATCGTATGACAACATGTTGAGCCAAGGGCGAACATCGAAGGCTCCATCAGAAACCGGGTAGCTATCATCAGGTCCAATATTACCTCCGGCAGCTTTGATTTCCAGAGCAGACAACAACCTTCCAACGCATTCCATGACCCGAGGCTCCATAGCAGTGATCTCCTTAGCCGAGAAGACATGGGCCAGACTACGTCGCTTGGCTGCATGGACTGCCTTATCCGTGGCCTGGGACATGGATGGGTTCCCATCAGCGATGTGAGAATAGAATTCAGCCTTGACAATAGGTGCTCCATGGCCGTATATGTCCTTGTATGCCGCAGGATCGGTGAAAGATATGTGGTTTGGGGCAACTCGGACCACTGGTCCCAGCTTTTCATGTGCGTCATGAATTGCCTTGGTTTGGACACACTTCCAGGACTGCCACATGCTCCATAGAGGTGTAAATGCCGCAACAGATGGCGCTGGGAATCTTCGAAGGTTTTTTGGGTCAACATAGTACCGCCCCACGGTCCATGCGATAACCCCAGCACCTAAAACCATAGGGATCAGTCCCAACCACAGCGCTTGACATGTTGGGTCCTCGACGAAAAGTAGACTGAGGGTATCGACCACGAACATATTGAGAGTGAAAAGTTTGACCTAAGTTGGTATGACCAGGTTGACTAGAGGCAATGCTGTCTACCTAGATTTTGAAGATTGCCCAGCGCACACATGGACCGCAAATATATCCCACGGGGACCTTTGAAAATGGACCCCATATACACCTCAGCTCTGTCAATCGGATAACTATTGGAGTTCATCGAGTGACTCTAACTGGTCACATTGAAAACCTGAAGCGCAGATGTTGTCAAGATGCAAGGTCGGATTTACCTGCTTGTTTTGGCAGTTTCTCCCGAGTTCTGAAATTCCGAGCTTCCCGAGTTTTGGGTCACGCTAGATGTATTACAAACTTCCTCGTGTTTGGGTCAACAAGGTATTTAGGATGGCAGTGGATCCACTGATGGCCAGGCGGTACATACTATATCAGGCTGGTTTGAAAGCTAATCAGCCTCGCCATGGGATCACCCCCACAGAGACCCACCTGGACAAGTAAAAATCCATCACGGAATATACGTAATAAGCAATAAAAGTTTTACTAAAATTGCACTATATGGAAGAAAAGTCAGATTTTTAGATAGGAACCATGATAGAGCTATAGTACCTGCAAGGCTCATTTCTATGCCAAACCCATAATCTCAGCAAGATACCAAGACGCCTATCAAAAACGTATAGCTCAGTGGTCAATAAAGAACGTAATTTAGGCTGCTAGAGCTATTAGACCTTACAAGGTTGGTTTTATGATTCTGTCAAACGGAAACCAACGGCCAATAGCTATGAAAAAGCAGTGATAACAAAGCATCTAACCAGACATTTCTGTAGCTAAGCTAAGAGGTGCTCGAAGAGAACTTGGTGAAGCGACATATTGCACCAACCCTAGAAGTGAACAGGTAAATGGTTCAAAAAAAGAGAAGGGGGGGAACAACACTGCGACCTAGGGATGCTGGAGAATAGAGAGGCGTGGCCTTTCTGTGGGCTCAGGCTGGCTCTCTTCGTCTTGTGAGCTGTCTACTCTAGCTGAATCTACCGAGGCTGTTAGGATTAGGCCTTCATAGACGGTTATATGGCTATAATATTCGTAAAAGAATGGTCGTGTGAGTTGGTTTTATCTAGCTGTGCTGAGGGGGGAGTTTATGACCGCGATAATGCCAACGCCGCAGTCACCGATCTACCAGCCAGAGCTTGGTGAGCGCTTCTTTCACAGCGATATTAACAGCCACGGAGTGTGAATGACTTAGCATGAGCCGCAAAATGAGTGCGTACGGGCTATTAAGATGTCCTACAATCACACCCTGGGTGGAGACTCATGACCAATCCAAATGCTGCTACCGCGAACAACGACAGCGGCATAGAGTTGCGGCATCGAGTATCCACCATCATATCAAGTTATCAAGCGATGATCTCATGAACCTAGTTGCAGAGATGTACGAGTCCAAACTTCGCCCATAACCACGGGGCAGAAGAACTCATAGAATTAATATTATTTAAAGGGCGTACTAGATTATATATTTTGAATACTGAAATGCTTCGGCGAATTTGACAACTGCAGGATGGGCGGTCGACACTATAACATGCATTATCAGTAAATTTCTAGCCTCCCAGATGAGTCCCTTTGGATTAATGTGCTGGATTACCCCTTACTAGTAGTTATGCTGCCCGTTCTAAAATGTGCCCTGAAGTTGACCGTTTTAGATCGAGCATAAGCTACTAAATGTCTTTGATGGGGCTCTATATCAAGAGCGTAGATGGATCATTGTGTTTCAGCAAGAGGTTGCAACTAATGCGGTATGGATGATCCTCCAACGCAACACGCAGCTCCTGTTGGGCTGCAGCTGGTTGGATGACGTTTCCGGCAGAAAAGGATGGTTGGTGTGTTAGAAATATTAGATGAATCCGGAGGTACTCCTACTATGATGGAGAACGTATTACAGACTTTAGGTCGCGAATCCATGTTCCTGGATTCGTCATTACTGTATCCCGAACACAGATCCTCGCCGCTCTGTGGTCCGCATTGCGAGCCTCGTAATGTGCGATGAGCATGGGTAGATCTGCAATAACAAATGTTTAAAACGAAAACACCTGATCCTCTAGCTTGCTGACTGGTCTGGCCTTGTGAAACCCCAAAGATTCAACGAACTGCTTTACGGCTCCCACCATTGGTAGTGGGCCACACAGCAACAACTTAACGTCGTCAGACGGCGTTGGTAGATGTTTCTGTCATATACAAATGAGCAAATTGTTTCCATAAAATAATCAAGTTAATCTCTGATCTTACCGTGACCATATCCTCAGTAACATATCCGATTCCTCCTTCCCAATCTTTAGGGGGTTTATTAAGCACGTAGTGGACGTTCAGATTCTCATCTTTGAGAACCAGTTCGTCCAGTTCATCTTTTAGCAAAATGTCCTCATACTGCACATTAGCGTATATGAGATGAATTTGAGTTTTATCCCCCTTTCCATTGGCCTTGGGCCGATTATTGGTGATCGCTCGGATAATTTGTAGCATGGGTGTGATACCTGTACCGCCAGCTATCATACCAATGGCCCGGACCATGTTGGGCTGGTATACCATAACACCCTTGGGACCTCTAACTTCCACCTTTTCGCCAATTTGCATTGTATCGAGGTATTTGGACATGTTACCGTGCGGATATGTCTTCACCATGAGATCCATATAGCCCACTGCGTCAGGCAGGGAAATGGGCGTATATGAACGTATCACCGGCTTTGGGTTACCAGGAAGCAGTGCTCGGAGAGAGATATGTTGCCCAATGGGAAGGTTGAGGGTGTCAGAAGGCTTCGGTAGCGCAAGACGATATATGGAGACGTTGCCTGACACTCTTGTCTTCTTTACTAGCTGTAAGTCGCGAAACTCGTCCCGGTGCAGTATTTGACCTACAACACAGATCGCGGTTAGCTATAAAAATATTAATGTGCGATACATTAGGAAAATCAACTTTATTACTTTCTGAACGCAGTGGTGCAAGATAATAGATTATAACTGCGATGGATAGGGATAAGACAGCGAACGCTATGCTGGAAGGTTGGTCCATTATCATCATTAGAGCGACTGGTCGAGTTGGAAGGATATGGGTACGTCTGGGGTAACTCTTCCCTTCAAAAAGTAAAGGATGGCAGCCTGTTACGATACTGACAACGGAAACTAGATCTCTATCAGCAATTGGAAGTTGATCTAATCTATATCTTATGTGATTAAGCATTTCCATCTCAAGCTTGACAAGGAGAGCAACACTCATGCTCTACTTCAACAAGTTTAATGGAACTAAAAAAATTCTCCTTAGCTGTTTCGCTACTTGTCACTTGTTGTGAAGTGCAGCTTCGGCCGCGGGAAGTGTTGAGATGGAATAACCACTGTACTATACTCAATTAAGTCATTCTCGCCGAGAACAAATTCGTCACAGAAAGAGTCTTTGCTGAGCTAAGTATTGCGTGGCTTGCTTAGTTGTACTAGGGCTGCACCATGCGTCAATCTAGACCAGGTCGTAATTATTTTGCAGGCTCCAGATTAACCTTTTCCCATGTTCAGCATGAGAGAATAGTGGAAACTTCTTAGACCTTAGACACCCACAGACCAATAGTCGCCTTGGGCCTAATGTAGCAGGTGGATAAGCCGAACCCCAGTAGTTTTTTTATCGGCGGAAACTACTGGAAGTGGCATAGCTCGACAAGTCGGAACGGTCGGCATATGTGAAACCGAACTAGAAACAGGACCAAGCGGGTACTATCTTGGGGTGTGATATGCAAGTCTGCCTAATTTGTATAGGTAATACCTAATAGGTACCCTAGCTATTAAAATAGATAGGGAAGTACCTATATATTATTAATAGATCTATATAATCTAACTTTTATAAATCCCTATCTCTTTTATTAGCTTAATTTACTATCTTTAAGTATTTATTTTAATAAGATCTTATAATAATAGTATTTTTAGTATTTTTAGTATTTTTAGTATTTAATATAGCTACCTTCTGATCTAATAATATATTTTAAACTCTCTGGATAATTAGTATATTCTAGAATAGTAAAATCTTCTCCTAATCTTATATATCTTAAATCTATTAGTTTAATAAGAAAGTTTTTCTATTACTAGAGCTACTCTTTAAAGCCTAGTATAATAGAAAACTTAATAATAGTAAGTACTAGTTTATAAAGATAGTTCTTATTTTCTTTATTAAGAAGTTTAAAAAGTAATTCCTTTATAATAGTAGATAATTAATAGGAACTATAGAATTTAAATATTATTATTTTTAAAACTATTAGTAAGTATTCTATAATATTAAGTTTTAGAGTAATATAAAGTATAAGAAGGATATAGGAATATTAGTATTATTAGATAAGAATAAGTAAAAGATAAAGTAGATATAGCTATATATTAGAAATAAAATAATTTAGAATAATTTTTTTATTTTAAATAACTTTAATTTTAATAAATAGTATAAGATATTTATAAATAATCTTTTAGCTTATTATTATATTATTAAAACTAGTAATAATATAAGTTTTAAAGAGATAATCTAGATAATATAAGAAGCTAATTCTCTAATAAGTAAGCTAGCTAATAATAATATAACTAATATATAAAAGAAGGAAATAGCTAAAGAAATTACTATTAATTCTAAATAGATTAAGAAAAGTAATATAGAGATAGTCTTATAAGAATTATAGACTATTTTATTATTATAAATACTTATACTAGTTTATATATATTCTTAAACTATTTTAACTTTATAGTAAGATTTACTAGGAATAAGTAGGAATAATATTATTTCTTTTATAAAGAAAAAAAAGATATTATAAGCTAATCTAGATAATAGCTTTAAGTAATTAGTAATTATATTTAAAATATTATAATCTTAATTATATATAGTAACTATACTTTTAATCTTATTTAATAAACTATAAAAAGCTCTAGAGAATTACTTTATATTTCTTAGTAAGAATAATCTATAGATAGTAATAAAAATAGTAGAATAAATAAATTTAAAGCTAAGAAATATAATTCTATAGTTAAATTTACTATTAGAAAATTTAAAGAATTTATATATTAAAATAAAGTTTAATCTCTTATAGAACTATAGTTTATAAAGCTATTCAGAAGTTAAAGTAGAGCTAGATTTAAAATAGTCTTACTTTTCTATCTACTAGCTATTTTCTAATTTATTTTTTTATTTATTATAATATATATATATTTATAAATTATTCTACTAAACTAGTTATTTTAACTTAGAAAAACTCCTATAATCTTTATCTTTATCTTTTTCTTTACTTTCTATCTTAATATATAAATTATACTACTTCTAGATCTAATCTATAATAAGTTTCTATAACTACTATATAGAGTAGCTGGAGATAATATAATTAGTATACTAAGTTATATTTATAAATATCTATCTATTAGCTATAGTAAGTACTTCTATCTCTCTTCTTAAGATCTACTATAGTAGAATTCTATTTAATATAATAAAGTTATTTAGATCTATTATAATATATATAATTTTTATCTAATTAGAAAAGAGATACTTAGATATACTATACTAAATAATCTTTTACTTCTACTTATAATAACTAAATATTCTTTTAATCTAGCTCTATAACTAGATATAATAAAGATTAAAAAGCTTCTTAGTATTCTATAGCTATTTATTATAATTACTAAAGTCTTAGAGATAATATATACTTTTAAAGAGTATTATTATTCCCTAGCTTAGACTAAAGCTTATATCTATAAGAAGAAAATAATTCTATAGGATATTAAGAGATCTTAAGTTTATATATAATAGTAATATTAAATTATAAACTAAGCTCTTAGCCCCTATTAATATATATATAAATAGCCTATTAAAAGAAATAGCTATAAGTATATTTTATAATATATTATTCTTATATAATTAGAATCTCTTCTAGTTTATAAGTAGAATAAATATTAGAATATATATTTTATTAATAGTTTTAATTATTCTATTAAATTATATAAACTTAGGGTTTAATTTAATTTTACTTAATAGATAAGTTAAATCTAGCTATTTAATAAAGTAACTATAAAGATATCTTATTAGATTAATAACTATATAGAAGATATAGAATATATCTATTTAGCTAATTTTAAATCTATAGATTATATTCTTTTATAGCTTATTATATATATAGATTTAAAGAAATACTATAATTTTAAATTTAATTATCTAGAACTTTATTACTATTAGAGATATATTTATTTTTAATTACTTATAAAGTAAATAAAAGATTATTTTTATTATCTAGAATATATAATAAAATTATTTATCTAATAAGAAAAGAAAATATAATTTATAATTAGCTACTTTAGCTAGATTATTTTAATACTACTTCTTTACTTTCTTATCTTTAGAAAGTAGTTTATATAGTTATTAGATAGGAAAGTTTTTATTATCTAGGTTTTTCTTAAGTAAATTCTAGATAAGCTAGATTAATATAAATTTATATTTATCTTTATTATCTTTAATTAGCTACTTAAGAACCTAAGGAGAAAAATTAGAAGAGATTATTATTAGAAGAACTATCTTAATACTATAAGTAGGATTATAAAATTTATATAAAAATTAGATAGACCCTTAGATAATATAAAATATATAATTAATAGTTTATTTTCTTAAATCTAAATAATATATATTAAATAGTAGAAAAGAGAGAATTCCTTAGTAACTAAACCTCTTATAGATATTAAAGCAGCTCCTACTAGTAGAATATATAAAAGTTAGGAGTATAATAAGATAATAGAAGAATTATATAGAGTAGATAAATTTATATAAAGATTATCTACTAATTTAAGTAAGGTTAGTATTTCTTATAAATTTATACTATTAGGCTGTTATTAGACGGACTTACGTATCACACCCTTGGAGTGACCAGGAAATCTATTCATATCCGACGAATCAATACTCATGTGAATGGCGACTTCAAGATGATTTCTCTTCTGTGCGCGGTCGGCGGTATTATACGAGAAAATTCTGAACTTCTCATCGCATACTCCGTCGGCTTGCCAAGGCTTTCTATAGGAAGGTTTTGGCTAGTAAGATGGGATTACTATCCGGTAATGCCAACGTCGGCCTGTTCGGGTTTGCCAGGCTATTTAGCAATATAGCCATGAGCTAGGTTCGGCACATTAACTCAAGTATATATAAACACATAGATGAGTACCTTTGCACTGGAACTTTCTATTTCCAAACAAACCGAACTCTTACAAAGAAATATTTCTCGCGGATTTCGATAATTTCGAGCACAATCACTTTTAAAACTGGCATTCAGTTCTATTCTGGATCGTTAGACCTATCAAAACTAGCCGACTCTATTGGTTCTAACCTTAATTATTCGAAATACTTAATCCGATCTCATATTTTTTTTCTCCCCGCTCTGAGGTTCTGCAATCTTGATAACTATCACGGAATGCTAGAAATGCCGCATTTTGAAGTATCAGAATTGATATTTCTAACGCTTCCTGTGGTAATAACTGCCTTCCTTTTTATCAATATCAATAGTTGGGTATTTACGAAAGATATTTCTTCAGCCACAGATACCAAGTGCCTTGATTCAAACACTGGAGACCCAAGAGACATCATCAGAAAAATGAACGATTCAGGCAAAGATTGCGTCATATTCTATGGTTCCCAGACTGGCACCGCTGAAAGTTATGCGTCTAAATTAGCTAAGGAGGGCAAGAATCGATTTGGGATGGAAATTATTATCGCTGATCTGCAAGATTACGACTATGCTAACCTCGATCCTATGTCTAACGATAAAGTTGCGATGTTTGTTTTGGCTACCTATGGCGAAGGTGAACCTCTCCTCCTTAGAAGTTAATTTTAATAATATAGATAAGTATCTTAATTTTACTAATAAAATAGCTATAAAAGATATTAATTAGTAGAGAAACTAGCTAGATAGTAATATAAGTCTAATTAATTCCTAGTTACTAGTAATTAATAATAGTTTATCTAATTATAGAATTTTAAAGTTAATAGAGATTTTAGTAAAAAAAAATAAGTTTAGAGTTTATATAGTAAACTTTAATAAAATACTAATAAACTACTTTATCTAAATAATAGATAAATATAATATTTATAGGAATAGAAGAGTAATTCTAATACTAGAAGAAATAAAAATAAAAGTAAAATTAATTAATAATTAGTAGAATTAAAAGAGAATAATTTAATTATATTCCCTTAGATAAAAAGATTACTATTTTCTTAATAAAACCTATAATAAATTAATAGCTAATAGTAAAATAGAGCTAATAAATCTATTAGCTTTAATAATCTATTTAGTATTTATAGTCTAATATATAATTAAAGAAAAATATAAAGAAAGAGTTATAATTAATCTCTAACTATTAAATAATAATAGAATACTAAATATATATCTTTTACTAGATTAAATAGATATTTTATTAGATATAAAAGAAAAGAAGTTTTTTATTATATTTAATATAGTTATTTCATTCTATATAGAAGGCCCGCTAACTATAGCAGTTTCCTCTACTGGAAA